ATGTTATTTCATTAAATTCTTCTGTGTCTGCCAATTCCTTTTGATACAATGACTCAGTATATTCCTTCCATCTTCTTTTAATACTTCCTGGATCATTTAATATTCTTCCTAAAGCATCCTTGATAAATAAAACTCAGTGCGATCAAGTTGATGCCAACTCACAATCACCCTCCACGGCCTTCAAAGCCTATAAATCAGAACAGAAGAAAACTGCCATTTCTCAGCCCATTAAGTCACTGGATTCTAACTGCTGGAGACAGCTGGCTTTTGGTGAGTGGTGAAGTACACTACAACTATGTCCCTTAACTGACTGACGCATGTCAGCAAGTTGGAGCTAACTCACAGCTGATCCTCCAGCAGGTTTTCAGAGACTGTAAATCACTGGAGAACAATCATTTGTTTCCCTTATTGCAGCCTGTGGCTCAAGCTGCCTGCCCTGGGTTTGCAGCGCCAACGCCTTACCTGGTGGCCCAGCAGAGCTAACCTCACAGGACAGTTTGGGAAAAGGAGGAGGTATCACACTGTGATAATTCAAGACTGGTTTTACAAATAAGTAAAAAGAACCGAAAAGAGATGAAGAATAGAAGAAATTTATTTAGGGAGTAAATACAAATTATCCAATTTGCTAAACAAGCATGAAGACATATTTGATAAGATCTGTTTCAGTTGTTTTCTTTGGCCAGGGGAGAAGAGGAGGTAAGTTTTCAATGGCTTTAACCATGTCCTATACTTGTGATATCCTGAACAGCTTAGCCTTTGAAATTTTAAATTCTAATACTACTCTTTGTCCATAACCCAACCTAGTTTATTAAAGTCAAAGTCATTGTTATTGATTCCCAACTGACTCCATAACCCAACCTAGTTTATTAAAGTCAAAGTCATTGTTATTGATTCCCAACTGACTCAGAGCTGACCCAGCAGGTTTTCAGAGGCTGTAAATCATATGGGAGGAGACCGCCCATCTTTCTCCTCAGAAGCTGGTAGTCAGCACTGCTAACCTAGTCTACAATTAAAAAACTCCATGCCACCTAGTTAGAACTCATAGCTGACCCTTCAGCAGATTTTCAGAGGCTTTAAATCACATGGGAGAATGAATGCTCATCCTTCCCTTGAAGTCTACTCTGTGGGAAGACAGTAAAAAAAAAAAGGATCTGAAATAGAACAAACCTGGGCTTAATCTAAGATCTACTCCCACCTAAATCCTTGGGCAAATTAATCTCCCACTGGGGTCCCGGCTTTCGCCCGCTGCTGCTCTCCCAAAATGGTGGCTCCTCCGGGCGAGAACTCCAGCGTTGGGAGCCAAGTGTCGTGCCGGACGTGCCAGGAGCAGCGACTGCAGGGCGAGGTGGTAGCCTTCGACTACCAGTCCAAAATGCTGGCTTTAAAATGCCCTTGTTCAAGTGGAAAACCCAACCATGCAGACACCTTGCTCATGAACTTACAATATGGTTCAGAAGTGGAAATAATTAATGACCGAACAGAAACCCCTCCTCCTCTAGCTTCACTCAATGTTAGTAAGCTTGCCAGCAAAGCACGGACAGAGGAGGAGGAGAAGCTGAGCCAGGCCTATGCAATCAGTGCTGGTGTTTCCCTAGAGGGCCAGCAGCTCTTCCAGACCATTCACAAGACTATTAAAGACTGTAAATGGCAAGAAAAAAACATTGTAGTCATGGAAGAAGTTGTTATTACACCCCCATATCAAGTGGAAAACTGTAAAGGCAAAGAAGGGAGTTCTCTGAGCCATGTACGCAAAATAGTTGGAAAACATTTTAGAGACGCGGAAAGCCAAAAGATACTGCAGCGTTCACAAGCCCAGCAACCACAGAGGAGGCTGCCCTATCATCCTGAGTCCATACACCTGGAGGACTCTTCCAACATCCAGCCAAGGAGGCGGTGGTGGTGGCTTCAGCGGAGGCAGGCCGGGGGAGGGAAGGGATCCTATATTTCCTATTGGCTCTTGTTAACAGAGGGTCAGCATTTCCAAATCTTAGACTTGAACAAACAAAACACCCGACAAAAAAGAACAAGAGAGTAATTTAAAAATTGGGAAAAAAATTATTTAATCTCCCTTGGCTTTGATATACATAGCAAGAATAGTAGGGACAGCCTGGTGTGAGGCTCAAAGATAATTTAAACAAAAAATTAGCAGGTTGTGAAGTATATAATAAGCACAAAATGAACATTACATCGGCTTTAGTCTTACAGCCTCAACTCTCAGCCCTCGTTCTCTGTAACACTCCATAAATTGATACTGCAGTGCTATACACTGCCAAAACCCATTTTGGCACTTACTCTCTTTACTGTCTTAAATGTCTCTTATGGTAAAGTTTACACTCCTTTGTGGTGGTGTTGCTGTGTCCCAGGGTCAGAACTGACCCATAACAGGTTTTCAGAAGCAGTGTATCACACAGGAGATGGCCCATCCTTCTCACATAGAGCAGCTGGTGAAGTCAAACTGCCTGCCTTTGGGCTGGCAACACAGTTTCTTACCACTAGGCCACCACAGCTCCTGTCT